CCTTGATAGGAAGGGAATAAGCAAGAAAAGGATCCTCCTGTCAGACTGGTGTGAAGTGGCCTCTGCTCGTGACATACCATGTGCTTTCCTGAATTTAGGAAGCAGTGAGTTTGAGTGAATGTGGTGGAAGTTTGCCATAAGCAAGGGTAGTTAGTGGTCAGAACAGAGGGAATTTTGTGTGTTGTGTTGATGACAAACATAACTGGTAAAGCCACAACTGGATGTTAGTTGGCTTCAGCAGGATGAGTTGACTTTACCTTCACTGTTGTTTTAAAGCTAGCCAAGGAAAACATTCAATTACATGGGGGGATTTTTTCCTACTTCAGGGATGTAGGAACATCAGCTGTGCTGGAAGCAGACAGAACTTGGGCTTAGTATCTCCTCTCTGACATCCTTATAGAGTTTAATTCTGAAAAGAAGGTGATTTTATGGCATCCTGCATCAAATCTGAGAGGGCACGTTATGGTTCTCCCTAAAGTATCAAAGCCTCTAAGCCATTTGGCCATAAAAACTGGGAAAATTTAGTTACCAAGTTCCTGTATAAAGTTTTTTGGAGTTTGGACCTTCAGGTTCTGACTTTCTGCCAGTAAACAGTGGAAGACAGCAGACAATGGCTTTGCTGATGAAAATGTGCCATTTCGAAGACGGAGGGAAATTTTATTATACCAAATATCTGAAAAGACAAGAGGAAATGGGGGGCTTGATGGGCACCTTCGTGTACCAGCGGGCTTGCAAAGGACATTGTGTGTGCTAAGCAGTAGGGCAGATCAGATTCTTCCCCTTCTGTTCCATATGATAACTCTGTTTTTAAGTAAAGTAAAAAAACAGAAACCAAATATGAAATTGAGTACGGAGTACTGCATCCAGCTCTGGAGCCCCCAGCACAGGAAAGACATGGACCTGCTGGAGTGAATCCAGAGGAGGACCATGAAGATGCTTCGAGGGCTGGAGCACCTCTCTCGTGAAGACAGGCTGAGAGAGCTGGGGCTGTTCAGCCTGGGGAAGAGAAGGCTCCAGCAAGACCTTATAGCACCTTCCAGTACCTAAGGGAGGCTATACAAGAGATTTTGAGAGGGACTTTTTACAAGGGCATGTAGGGATAGGACAAGGTGGAATGACTTCAAACTGGCAGAGGGTAGATTCAGACTAGGTGATCCCAGTAAGTCTAAAATAAAATCTTTGATGTAAAATTTATTTAAATTACAGTAAAAAGTAATTCATTGCAGTAATGATAAGAAACATTAGGAAACAAATGCAGTCAGCATTTCTAATACATTCTGATTTAGATTTATTTGCTCAGGAAAGCTCCATTCTCCTTTATCCTTCAGGAATAATACTATATGTGTGTATTTAGTGTCTTTCAGCCAACTGGAGGAAGGAGGAGAGAGAAGTTGGGGAGACAGTACTGCTGTGCCTCTTTTCAGGAGATATTTTGGGCATGCATTAATCTATATCCATCTATATCTCTGGCTGCACTTCTGTTCCCCAGTCCCTTTGCATTTCTTTGTCGATCCTGTGTTCAAAGAGTGAAGAAAGGCAAACAAAGTAGTGAGTTGAAGTGTCTCTCTCTTACATTTCCTCCTGCATTGTGGCAGATGAAGTCTGGGGTGTCCCCTGCAAAGCACATGTTAGCTATAAGGAGAAGAGCTGCTGGGAAGGCCTGGAAAAAGCATGCTTTCTCTGGGGCTAGTTGCAGGCAAAGAAATTCCCTCACAGAAATGATTCCTAAAAGTTATGAAGCCAAGGCTGGGTTGTTGATTTTTAAAACTAGCAACTTTGAAACAGAAACTTCTTGTGCTTTTAAATGAGGAAGTTTTGTTTTGTAGGGGCAGGGGGGTGCAGCTGCTCGGAATGGGTACATTTCTCTCTCAGCATTTTTTCTTTATGGTAGCGTCTGTCTGGCTTCAGGCTGATTGATTCAGCAAGATTTAGTATGAAAATAGCCCTGTGAAAATAGTTCTGTAAAAATTAAGAGTCAGCTGGGAACTGCATGTTTGCTAAAGATGGTCAATTTCTAAAAATGTTTAGAAAAGTACTTTTGGGAAAAAAAAAAAGGTGTTTGGTTCTGAGGCTATGGTTTGAGAGCTACTGGCACATATATGGGATTGTGTGCCATTTTACTGTTGCCCTGAAAATTAGTGAGAAAAATTCTAGCTGCGGTGTTAAGCTTATTTAACAATCTTTAGTGATCTGGAGTATTTGCCCTAATAGCTCTATTTTAGCTACACCTCAGAAGAAAGGTATTTGCTCAGCATGTAAATTATTATGCAATAGCAAAGAAGAACATGCCATCAGTGTTTCACGGCTGATCATGTTTTCAGCTTCGCTTGCTTTTTGCTGAGTTGCCTGAAGCAAGATGTATTCAGCCTGAATTAACTGAAGCAGACTTTGAAGTCTTGAGAATCTTCACGATCATTTTGAAAGGTTTTGTAAGCTATTGAAAATATTTGGGAAAATTTGACACTTGTTCCGTAATTAAACACATACTTGTCAGTCTCTGCACCTGGAAGCTGCCTTTGCATAATCGCTTTAGGAATTAATGAATCTACCCTTGTTTGAGAAGGCGAGGGTGAAGTAAATAAAAAATCAAAAAGACCTGGACTGCCTAAGTGAGGTGGAATTCACTCTGTACCCTGCTTAAGAGACTGCGTGCAGTCCTTGCTGTTACCTTATCAAAGCAGGAGGGGCTGCAAGCGAAATCCCATGTCCTACAGTTGCCTCGTACCAGGAGAGATGTTGTCAGCGTGGTCACATAGAGTTAATCATGCTTAGCCCAGTGAGATGGAGCTTGCAGAGGATCTTGCAGACACATTCCTGCTGGTGGCCTCCTGGCCAGTGCTGCACTGGGCTTGCTCTTTGCAAAGGCTCCCAGGAGCCTTTGTTAGTACCACTAGCAATCCAGAGGCAAGGAGGTGATGCATTTGTTTCCCTCTCACTGGCTACTTTGCTAGAAAATGTAGTGATTTTTCCTGCAGACTGTTTCTCTCAGAAGTGATCTCTGCAGCACTTGACACGAGCTGGGAGCTGCGCTCTGATCCCCTCTGCCCTCGTCCCACAGGCACATGCTCCCTCTGGTCTCTGCATGCAAGATGCAAATAAATATATTTTCCCTTCCTGGCACATCCTTTCTCTTTTCCCTAGTTGTTTTGATCAAAATACCACTTAGCTTGTTTGGCTCCCTGTGCTTTTTGGGAATGGAGAGATGAGAGTTCCTGTAGTAACATTGTGTTCCCAGCCCTGCCTAGTCTGCAGGAGCTCACAAGAGGCTCTGCCTTTCCGGAAGAGACTAATCTTGAAACACTGGAATTAACGAGTCAACATTTATTTGAATTAAATAAAGCACAGTTAAAGCCAAAATGCTGAAAACTGGAGTTTCCACACCCAGTAAGGAGGAGAAAATGATCTGGGTTTGAGAAGCAGACTGAAAGGAGACGAGGGGGTGTCTTGGCTGTACGTAACCTCCAGTCCTGCAGTTCTCCACACTCAGGCTCTTGTGTAGAACCGCAGAAAGAGTGAACACAATGTTAGTTATGAATTAGTTATGAACACGTTACTATTTAGGCTTCCTGCACCCCTCCCTTTCTGGGATTCTGTACTGAAGCTTAAACCAGACTCTTTATGGATAAGCACATAAAAAAATATCCAAGCATTCTCAGCTGAGGGACTGTTGGGGTTTTGTTGGGGTTTTTTTTCAGTAGCAGCTGTGGAGCTTCACCCAGCCTTCACTCAGCAGGCAGGTTCTGCATCGTGGCCTAAAGTCTGGCCTAGAAAAACAGTAGTCTTCCTTTGGTCTTTGCTGGATGTTCTTCTGTGGGAATGGGAATTCACTTTGTTACTTGCTCTCTAATGGAGAGTCTGGCACTGCTGTGGGAGGGAATTTCTGTTTCTCTACCAAGGCCATGCCATGTAACAAGGGATGCAGAATAGCTTTCATCCTTGAAGACAGAACATGTTTGCTTTGAATCTGGGAGTAGGCTAATTGCCCATAGAGTTTGCAGGCAATTTGTAGGACCCATTGATCAGTCGACTGAAATATTGATGAGTACCTGCTTCATATGCTTTCATTGCTGCCTAATGGAAACATTAGGAGACTTACGTTCATCATCTTTAAAACACGTTCGTCCTGTCATACACAAACACAAGACAATAAGGTTTTGTGCAAAGGATCTCTGGACACTGGGAAATGAGAGATCTCAACCTCTTATCTACTTGCAATTTACATGTTGAAACATTCACGTTTTCTGAAGTGATATTTAACTCTGTGATATCTTCATCTAAAGATGGTCTTCTGCCTTCCTATGCGTTTGTTCCACCACTGTTCACTTTGCAAAAAGTCCAGCACTTATTTCTCCTCCCCTTTGCTTTTTTATACCACTACTTTGCATCTGCACAGGCCTTTGGTCTGTCTTCCTTTGCCTGACTCGCATGGCTTCTTACATCAACATTGGGATAGATGTTTGTCACCTTGCTAGTTGAGTCCTATGCCCTTCTTTCAGCAGTGATAGTAGCCCTTCAGTTCCCTTGTGCTTCGGTGTGAAATACTTCATAGTTCATGTTTAATAGTTTTGTATCATTCTTGTGGTTCTGAAGATATTCTGGAAATAATTTATAACAAATCTACTTCAACTAAATCCCCTCCCTGAAATTACTGGCATTTCATTCCACTTTGTTTGTCCTGACAACCACAGACAGGCTGCACAGACAGGTAAGATGTGTGACCTGCAGGAGAGCTTTACCCCTCTAGACTGGTGTCTCAAGGGGAGACAGGCTATCATATGTTTGTAGCAGTACTTTAGTGTCCCAGGTTTGGAAAAGTGACATTGTTAACATTGTGCCAAAGTCACAAGCTACATAGCATTTTCAATATCTTGATTTAAGGAATAAATTTATTGCATGTGTATCTTAGTTTTATGCATTCAAACAGAAATAGATGAGACTTGTTCATAATTACAGCAATAAGATTGTACAACATATTTCCTTATTTTGTCTTCTGTCCACAGGTCCAGCAAGAGCAAAGGAACCACACCACAGAACCTGTAATAGATGACTATAAAAAGATGGGGACTCTCTTCGGCGAACTAAACAAAAGCCTTATCAGAATAGGCTTCACAAGGATGTACTTTGGAGAACGGATAGTAGAACCTGTAATAATTATATTCTTCTGGGTTATGCTCTGGTTTCTTGGCCTACAAGCTCTTGGACTGGTTGCTGTTCTGTGCCTTGTCATTATTTATGTACAACAGTAAAATTTTATATAGATACTGTTCAGATGATGTATTTCTACACCATCACTATGTCAGTGGATTTATGTGTTTAAAGTAAATGGGCAGCATATCAAAAGCTGCAATGCTTCAAATTGCTGAAATTCCAACATTTGAGGTGAGGGGGACTAAAATTATGCATTTTAAGCCAAATCAGCAGTGCCCTCTTACATCTTTGGGGGGTATGGGGAAAGGAGATGTTTGTAATATAATGGTGTCAAATGTACTGTTTTCTGCACTCTTGGGGCCTTAGCCCAAACACTGGCTTTTTGTTGTCCACTCCTGTCTTCCCATCTTCTTGCTTTGTATAGTGAAATTTTCCTGCTGATTTTAAGAGGATACTCGATGTGAGTGTCCTGTTTCACTGTTGGGGGAGGCTCATGTTCTGTTTGTTCCCTGAATCTGCATAATTTGTTAGTGTTCTGCTGAAAAGCTGCGTCTGCACAAGGGAGGTTTGGTAACAAACTACAATGACAAATATTCACAAAAGCATCTTTTGTTTGTATAGTTTATAGTAAGCTTTCCCCTAAGAAACAAGCTATACCAGCAAAATGCTCTTATACTAATATTAGTGACTGCACACAAGGCTTCAGCTGTTGTTAAGGAGAAATTGCAGTCCTACATTGGCCAAGTGGTCTAATGCAGCTCTGCCTTGTTTTTTTGAAATGTACTCAGCTCCTGCTGCTATTTTTCTTTCTTTATTTTTTGTACTTGCTCTTTCCCCCAGCCCTCCTTCTTAACATAAATATTTGGATAATTCATGGAGTTTGTAGGTAGTTTCAGCTGCAGTGTTGGAGAGTTGCCATTCCAGACAGCAGTGCTAGGATGTTGTCTGCTTCCTCTGGGTGGTGTGTGAAGTGTCTGAACAACCAGATATCAGACTAGATCTCTTAATGCTTCCCTGTTTTTGCAGTGTGGGCCCACATCAGCTAAAGCCTTGCTCACATCAGCAAACCAGATCTGTTTCCTCATGCAGGGCAAGAATGTAGTTGAAACCAGGTGGTCATTTTATTTAGTAGTCTTAACTGATTCGTTTCCACACTGGGCAACAAAAAATGCCTACCTATAGGTATATGTCATGGGCCACACAAATTAGGGAATAGGTTATATACTTCACTCTGACTCCCCAGGGGCCACACCAGGGGTGTAATGAATATTTCCAGGTTTGAAGAAAAACAGTAAAATGAAACAGAATCTTTAGTACTTCTACTTTAATACTACTACTAAATAGGCTGCCAATTTAATAATTGGTGTACATTACTTTTACTAAGAAACTTAAATTGCAAAATTGACTTAATCTATGGTCCAGTGAAATTATATATTTACTGAAAGAAATGTAATAGGAGATGTGAAATTTACAGAAAATTACTTAAGCTTTTGCAGTGACTTTTTCCTAAAGAACAATAAATTAGATCAACAATCAATTAGTTGAAAATGCTGTCTTATTCAGAGATTTTTGAAGTTAGGGGAAGTTTCTGTATGGTCCCAGTCCTGCAACTGGATTCTCAAGGCCAGCTTTATGCCTGCACGGACCATGTTGACTGCTAGGCTCTATTTCCAGGGCCTCTGGCCCCAGTCCTTATGGACTTTCCTGTTAGGGAAATAATTGTTATTTAGGGCAGTAAACATGAAGGCCCAGCTCCTTTAAAGTCTTTATGTACTGAAATGCCATCTGCAGACATGTCTCTGTGCTTTTCTAATGAACATGTAGTTACCTTCTGAGGAGCCCGGTTGCCTGTCTGGATCTTCAGATGACCTTGACTGTGGATCTGAGAGGCTTTGCTGAACCATCAGGACTGCAGGGAAGTGGGATTGAGGCCCCAGCTCTGTGGTCAGGTGGCAACCCGTGTTGATTGGCACATAGTTAAATAGTTACACTTGTAGCAGGGAAATGTTGGACAACAGAAGGTGTTTCTGGATGCAGAGATTTGTTGTTCTCATCTGGAAGACCCAAAGCAAACAGCAAGTACAGGCTGAACTCAGAGGCAGGAGCTCTGTGCTCTAAAGTGCCTAGGGGTAAACTTTGAGTTTGTTTCAAGTCCCCTAGAAGCAGAACATCTGTTTACACCTCTGCGTAATTTGTATAGATAGAATGGTGGTTTTATGTGTATTCTTCTCCTGTGTAAGGGCTGTACTACAAAAGCATCCTGTCGTTAAAAGTAAAAAAAAAAAAAAATGTTCTTTCTTTCTTCCCACAATCCAGTTACTGTTCAGAGGGTCTCATCTAATTCCTTTCATCCTGTAGGAAAAAGTGTCTCTGTGATACTCTTGTTGCAGTAGTACTCTTGTGTATAGAGGCTGTGCTGTGAGATGGCATGTGGTATTTCCTTGAGGTGGTGATCTTGCTCTGTACATGTGGAATGGGGAACGGTGAATCGTGAGTGTGACCAACAGCTTCAGTGAGGACATTGTTTATATGTGTGTAACCTGTTAATATATGCATAACTGTGACTGTTGCACTCATGAATTCATTTCAGTTGGTTGTTCGCTGTTCATGTTATACATGTACTCTAGGGAAAAGTAGCTTTTGGACTGAGATTGTGTATAGTGAATGTCTTGTGTGGTTTCTCTTAAGGGTAACTTGCTATGTCTTGTCCTTCATGGAAGTTTTTCATTTTTAAAAATCTGAAAAAATAATCCTCGTAATAGTGTTAGGTTGACTGAAAGTGGAAAAAGAAAAATAATGTATTGCATGGAAAATACCCCTCTCCTGTTCATACATTCCCTCATATATAAGAACTTATACTGAATTGTCTGTCCTAATTTTGTGCAATTACTATATTGTCTCCCTCTCATTTGCAGGAAAGGAAAGAGGGGCTAAGGAAAAAGGGGGACTGAGTTAGAATCAGACATAAAGAGTGCAAAATGGAATGTCCAAAAAAATCTGGTCATAAATGTGTGTCAAAACAAAGAGGAAATGGGTGAACAGTCATTGCCTTGTATTCTTCATTCCATCCAGATGTAGCTGCAAGGCAGAGGAAGCACCAAGTGCTCAAAGGATGTCCCTAGCTAAAAAGCAGAAGGTTAATTTAAAAAAAAAAAGTCCATTTCACTGTTGCCTATATAGTAAAAATTGATAATGTTATTTATGGTGTTAAATGTTATTGTTCTTGATAGAACTGAAAGCACCTTTATGCATCTGTGTGTAGGACTGTATGAAGGAATTATGTCCCTTAAATCTGTGTTGAACAACAAACGATGCAGTTTCTGTTGGTTAGCGTGACATGGAAAGCGTTTTACATAACCTCGTTTTTTTAAAGGATGGACTCTTCAGTACTATTTCACACCTACCAAATGCATAAATGTTTGAACTACTGTGTATAGAGAAGAAACTCCACGCGCAGGAGAATCTTGGAGAACCCTGTTTGCACTGAAAAATCACCACATCAAAACTGTCCATATAAAAAGGAAAAATCATATTTCTTAAAAACTCCGTATTAAGTGAATTCTATGGAAAGCACTTTGTTACTCTTTCTAATAAAAAGTATTGCCATCAATGAACCTGTGAATTCTTTATGGTGATTTGTTCAATGTTACATGGCTCCTTTTAAAATTTTATGTTAGGCCCAGATGAAATGGGTCAATGTTCAGATAACTGCTGAAATCAGTTCACTTGCAGCTAGAGGAGAAAAAACTGCAGTACAGGAGCTGAATAAACTGCGTCAGGTCTGTATGGTTGTGTGCAGCAAATTATGCTGAACCAAAAAACAATAAATAGTAGAGCAAGATGTTAACAAATAATGGTAACATTACATTGTAAAGTAGATTTTAGTTCACAGCATATCTGTTTTGCATCTAGAGCAGCCTCTGAAGGAACCAGATGTAGTCAAGGATATGAAAAATCCTTTGAAGTGCCAATTGGTGTGCCACAGAAAGGTTTGAGGATTTTTATTGTTTTTTTGAAATATGTATAGAACAGTAAATGGTTCAAAACAAATCTACTTTTACCTGTTGTTATTGCTTTTTTCTGCAACTCTGAAAGGTGTTCATTCTGCCAGATCCAACAGATACTTAAATGTATCTGTGTTGTTCAGGATGCACAGTTAGTTAACCAGTTTAGGGTTTTTTTAAAGTAGCAAAGTTGAATTTTGGTCCTTCAGACTCTCATTGGTGGATGTGCACAGAAGAAGTAAGGCTTATTCCTGAATAAATTCAAGCCTTAAAGTTATCTCAGTTGAAGTATCTTTGTCAGGCCTTTTATAGGGTGCACGCAAATTCAAAAACAATCTCTGATTCTTTCCATCCTGGGCTTTACTCTAGGTTTTGGGAACTTTATTTCTTAGCCTCTCCCCTCTACCAGAACTGACAGCTTCATCCCCTTTATACATTCCTCCTTTCACTCTGTACTGTTGCCTTCTCTAGGGGTGTTCACTTTGAACAGTCTCTCTCTGTGCCAAAGGTTCAGGCTTTTTCATCATTCAGTCTTCTTAAAAGCTACCTAGACAGAAAATCTATTTTCAGATGGGTATTTTGTTTGTTTTACTGTGTGCCTGCTTAACAACAGAAGGGAGGAAATTGGAGAGAGGATTTTTTAAAAATATTCATAAGCTGGTTAGTCACTTCATTTTTTGCAGTGCTTATCTGCTGGTTTAGGTGATGGTTACCAAACTGCAATGTGCTGTCGCCAAAGGTCCAAGAGAGTGTTGCAAATGTGTAGGGTAAGGAGCTGTTGATAGGTTGGCATCAGGATTTTGAAAATCGATGGGACAAGCAGTGTGTGGCTCAGGGTTGTTTCAAGCTTAAACAGGCAGGTAGACTTCTAACTTCCCTTAACTCCTGCCAACGCCTCAGTTATTTCTGGGAATGTCTCCAAATGCATATAAAATCATCAGTATTCCTTCTACACATTGAAGAAAACTGAGCTTTCATCAGCTCTGTTTTACACAGAGGAGCCAAAGAGGATGAGAATGGGAAAGGGGATTTGGACTTAGCATTTTTTAACTTGCATGCAAGCTTGTGGTCTTTTCAAATTAGTCTTGTAGTTTGTGTCTTGTATGCAGTTGTCACAAGTCTTTTATGCCCCCCCAGCCTATATGTGTGTTTTCCAATTAATACGGAAATAAAGCAGCTGTGATAATACATGCTTTTTCCCAAGCAATTTATTGAAAACTACACGTCCCTTCTCAGGTGGCAGGAGGGATGTGACTGGATAAAGCCCTTCTGATGACAGGAGCTGTTCTTGGTGCAGCCTCAGGGGCACCATCTCCCTCCCAGGTAGCACCTACAGCAGGCTACTGGAGTTCTAGGGAAACATCTTGCCCAGTCCCAGGCACTGCTGAAATATCTGGAGTTCAAGTGGCATGGAAGGAGAAGGACTGTTATATACCACAGTCCAAGGGATCTGATCAGACAGTGTTTCAGACAAAGCTGTTACAGAGTACCGTATCTAGATTTTATGTTCATTAAATGAAATTTAATTAAGCCCCATTGTTTCTTGGCTTGTCCTGGTGCATCACCTCGTGTTCAGAATGAATGTTGCTTGTGGCAAATGGTTCTGCTTCTGGAACCCATCTGTGTCTGTAGGCATATTTTATATGTACCATTTAGCATTAATTGCATTTTAAAGCATTACAAGGGAAAAGGGCTCATCTTCCAGTCGGCATTTGGATGAGGGTTTAATTAATATATGTGAGAAGGGAGCCAAATTAGTCACTGGCACACTGATGAGGGCTTCCTTTTAGAGGATAAAGCTGCTAACTGATATGTGGGTAATGAATGTACGAGAGACATGGGTTTGCATACTGTCCAGAATGGGTGGTAGAAAGTGACCATTTTTCTGCCCTAGTTCACAAATTAATTATCTGTTTTTAAATGTAGCTATCTTCCTTAAGTACCTGGAACATACTTCCTGGGTACAAGAAGTTGGTAGCAAGGAAAGGAATTATTAACTAAGGAAAACCCTTGGTCAACCAAAATCCTGGTCTGTAACGGGAAGTCTCTTCTTGACTTGAATGAAATTTGAGTTCTTCAGTGTTTGGGGTTATTAATTCTTTATCTTGAATATTTTACCTGGTTATTGTTTTAAATCATTCTTTCATTCATGTTCTTTCTAAAAGTTGTTAATATCAGTCCAAAATTCTTGAAAGCCACTTCACTGTCAATAGCTGTTACTAGTAGGGCTGTAGGTAGCCCATGCATGTGGAATGGCAGGTCACAGGGAGAGACTGGTATGTCTTTAGTGCTACCTGGCTGGTGTCACAAAGCCTTAAAGCAGGTTTTCAGCATTTTCTTTGCTGTCACTTTCTGTATGTATCTTGTTAGGTGCTGAACAAGAGCTCACATTAGCCAAGTACCTGATTTCCTTGGGCATTTCAGCCCTCTGAGCTTGGGACTTTATGCTGCTGAACAGACTCACTCTGCCCATCTGTACACAGCTGGGCACTCACATAACTGTCCTTCACTTCCTGCTGAGAGTGGAAATACTGTCTCGCACATGGGGTCATGTCCTCGTCCTAATAAGATTAGGAAAAGTGTGATCATACAATTTTCTGTACAGAACAAACATTTCTGTGCCTCTCTGTGAAGCTTCCTGTTGCAGAGAGGGAAAAATAATTAAGTTTTGAGTCTACTGCCCATTTTTGATGCTTAGTAGATAAGAGAACCAAAGGCATGCAACTATTTGAATATTATTTTTTTTCCATTTTGATATCCAGTTTCTTCATTCCATCTGTGATTAGAGAGATAAAAGAGTATTTGTTTGAGCTCTGTTATCAGTAGAGTTAACTTGGCTCTTAGTTAGTCTTATCCCAAGGTCTTCAGCAGGTACATAAGAATTGCTGTATTTTTTATGTTCAGTCTGTTTTTTCTTGTTCTGATGCATCAGCTTAGATTTATTTTTTTTATTTTTTTTTAAAGAAAGCCAGACATGTTTTGGGGAGAGTCTGTTCCTTGCCATGGATATACCTCAGTGGTGATAAGACTGTTGGACTATTTAGTGTTATGACCCTGCATTTGGCAGGGGTTTTGTCATTATTGAGACCTGCCTGTCTTGTCACCTGGGCTTCACCATCTGTAGGGTGTGAGGGGTTCTGTGCTAAGAAGCAGGTAGGGTTTAAACTGTAGTTAAGGCTTGAGATTATTAGTTACTTGTGCAGTGAGAGCTTTGCTGCAGTTTCCTGGGAGACAATTGTGTTGTAATGACAGTGTTTTGCAAGGAACTCGAGAAACTGAGCTAAAGAAAAAAAAATTCAGTGCATTTCTATATCCTCCACTTAGATTTTGAAACTGGTAGCACAGATCCTTTTTGATGTTACCCTTCTCCCATCGTTTCTGAAAGCTTGCTGATTGCCACCTTTATTTTTCCACTTCAAATTACTGTGTAATACAGAAAGTAGAGGGAGAAAAAAGTGTAGCTATTCTGAAATAGAATGCACTTGCTTCCAGTGTAGTGGTAGTGTGCTGATTTTTCCTCCCTAAGTGCTTCAGAGTTCTCCTGGGGAAACTCAGAAACTATTTAACTCAGAATCAGCTCTGCTTCTGTGTCATTGTATGTGTAGTTTCCTTTTGCTTGCTTTGAGGAGTAGCATTTTAAAGCAGGTTTCTGACTGAGCTTATTTGAGACTGCTGATGAAAACTCCCTTTGAATCTTCATGATGATTTTGCAGGGAAGGGGTTTGGGAAGAATTCCTAAAGAAAAATAAGAGGGCAAGACCAGTTAGAGCAGGATCAAGAGCAGTGTTGGGGGTGGGATATGGGCCTTCCATTGCGACTTGAATTTGACCCTGGGGACTTTATCTGAAAGCCACAAAAATCACTGTGAAGATTCAAAGGGAGTTTTCAGCCAGCAATAACCTTCCCTGTAACACAAAGTCATGAAGAAGCGTGTCAGAAATAAGATGCTTAATTATCATGGGAACTGGTAAGATACAAAGGGGTTTTTTTGGAGTTTCCCATAAAACACTGAAGTAGTGAAATATTACATTCTCTTCACTTTCAGCGCTGTTAATGATTTATTTGCTACATGCCTGGTGGGTTGTTGGATTTTTTTTCCCCCACACTTGTAGTCAATGAACATTAGAGTTAAATTTCTATCTCCTGAGTAGTGTTGAGCTCTAATATTTTCCATCCTGACATTTTTGTATTATGTTTTTATTCAATCCATTGTCATTCAATCCACTGTCATTCCTAACCAGCTGAAAGCTCGTTAAATGCTGCTGTTGACACAGGACAGAGGGCAGTCATCCTGCTCAGTAGAATGTCCTTCTGTTGCCCTGTGTCTTGGAGTCCAAGTTGTGTTTACAGCAAGGCTTATGCCGTGGTGGATTTGAAGCAAATCTGTATCCTGGCTTTTTGACACCCCAGGAAGAAAGCCATCAGGACAGTCTCATGACAGTGCTGCTCTGAAGGCTAACGTGTTTCGTGACAGAAGTCACCTGCATCTCCAGTGACCTTAAACAGGGCAGGTACATGCTGGCTCTCCTCTATCTCTGTGCTGGTGCGTGGGCAAGGGTAATTCTGGCTCTTTATGGGATTGTAAAGCCTTTGCCTAGATTTCTGGCTGA